TTTTTCTGGACCGAGTTAATATTACCCATTTATAGTTGACACTTGACGTTGAAGATTTCCTGTTATTTGGTGATCAAGTGGCTACTTCCACCATCATTTTATTCATTGATTTATACGTTTCCAATAACTTATAAATATCAAAAAGGAAAAGGAAAGAAAAATCTCCCTCTCCCAATCAAATACAATCACCCTTGGGACAGATTCAATGTGCAATATCCTTTTGGAAATGAAATGTTTGGTAATCGTCTATTTGTCTTTCCTTTTCCATCTACCGTTTTAATATACTCATAAATTGTCCTCTTTAATTCTAAATGAATATAGAAAACAAAATATAAAAATAAATTTTCCCATTTATAGCCAAAATTGATGTATTAGTGTCTACTCTCTCCGTTCACTTTTACTTGGCATGTATACTAAAGATATATTTTTATTTTTACTTGTCACTTTACGCATATCAAGAGAAGATAAATTTTTTTTCCTGTTATACCCACAATAGTTATTACTCATTTCAAATTATTTTCTCGAATCCAATAAAATATGCATCAATTAACATGGGTATTATGATAAATTATGCATTTTATTTATTATTTCTTAAAGGACGTGAAAAGTCAAAACGTTGCCAAGTAAAAATGAAAGAAGGAGTATATATCATCTTAAATTCCAGCACATCGAAGCCACGAATAGTTTATTGTTTGGGACGTGTGAAAATTGGTGTTTGTGCATTAGTGCGTATACTGCTCAGAGTTCTTTAATTTGTTGCTTAAGTCTTAGTAAAACTCTTATAATAATGTAACATGAATTTCTTAAATTCTTCCTAGTTGTCTTGGTCAAACCTACCGGGATAAAGAAATAACAGAATGTATAATATTTCTGCAATAATTTAAACCAAGTCCTGGTCAAACAATAGAGAAAAATATATTAAAAGAAGAAAAGAAAAGGATTTATCTAAGGCTGCATGCACATGAGTTCCTATCTCCATAGACCATAAGATATGTGAAAGAGTTGACGGAGTTACAAGTTAGACGTTAAGTTATCTCTCTTTTTAGCATATTAATAAAATATAAGAACGGAAAATGATCAAAAATATTTCTTTACTATTAAAAATTATTTAAAATTATCCTCAATTATAATATTCGACAAAAAATAACCATATCGTCTAACTATTAAACAATTATGCGCTTACTTTATCGGAAGAGCCACATGGAGGGCTTCTAAGCCCTTTTAATCCCCAACCCAAATTAGTTGAATCTGACCCATTACTCAACACCTAAAACCCGTAACCCGTAAATCAGAGACGCTCAACCCAAATATTTCAGTTTTCTTTCATCAAGTAAATTTTTTTTATTGAGAAACTTTCAGAAACCACTATGTTATAGTGGTTATTAGCTAGTTGTAGCTACTATTTATTATATTACTTTCTATAGCTATGTTTTCAGGTATTTTAGAGTGTATCCCATGTATTTAAGCTATTGTATTCATGAATACAATAGCATTTCTAGGCGTGAAACAGGGGATTACAGCTAGACAGATTTTTGTATTCGGCTGTATTCATGGCGTGAAACATGGGATTACAGCTGGACAGATTATTGTATTCGATTGTATTCAACTGTATTCACGGCGTGAAACAGGGGATTACACTGTTTATAAATAGAAAGTGAATCAATTAACATAATCGACTCCTAATATAACTCAACAAACTCAATTATAACACACAAATTTTGTATTTCCAGTTATAAAAAAGATTTTCAACCGAAAAACACCCCAAATACATAGCAATCTTCAGAGAAATTATATAATATATCTGAATACATAAATTATATTAATTAAAAACAAACATGTGAATACATTCATGGAATATAGCGAGACAGTGAATACAATGAAATACATAGAATACAGTGGGATACATTAATAATACAATAAAAATAAAGACAATGAATACAATAAAATACATAGAATACAGCGAGATACATTGAAATACAATGAAAAAAAAGACAATGAATACAATAAAATACAACGAGATACATTGAAATATATTAACAGAAAATTGAAGTTGCTCAGCCTCCAACTCTGTCGTCTTTGTTCAAGAACGACCCTAATGTCGTCTCGTTGAAGCAGCATCAGTATCCAGTCCTCGCTCGCCGTCACCGTTGCTCCAGTTGCCGACAATCCAGCGCCGCCTTTAATTTCAACTGTTGTTGCATCGGAGATCGTACGTGATCGAAGTTTCCATGGAGGTAATGAGCACAAAGCAAAATTACCACTGATAATAGGTGAATTTAACTATAATTAGGCCCTAAAGAACCATCTTCTTGTATAGTTTTGATGATAAAAGTGATAACAAAATGCTCTGATTAGTGCTTTTCATGCTTTGCAGGTGATATATGACAAGAGAAGGCTATGGAGTACTTTTGGGATCAAATATGGAGAAAAAGAGGCCAATCGTAAAAATTTGCCAAATGAACCAAGCGAAGCAGCTCAAGCCAAGCCTGAAGAAGGACTGCCGCGGTTCCACCGCGACCGCGGCAGAACCGCGGTAGAAGATGGTCGCGGATAAATTGAGATTCAGAGAAGGTGTGTGGCCGCGGTTTGACCGCGACCGCGGCAGAACCGCGGTAGAGGCGGAAAAGTTCAGGGACTTAAGTGCAAAACACGGGATTTTTAGCCCACAACCCTATTTTAAATACTAGACTTCGCCCAAAGGAGGCAAGGATTGTATTAGAGAATATTTTAGCAAGGAAAACAATTGTGAGAGATCACCCAAAACATCTTTCTTCTTTTCTTTGATTTTTCTTGCAAGTTTCATGATGAATATTGTTTTATTTTGTTTACCCATAGTTATGAGTAGCTAAATCCTTTGTCTAAGGTTCTGATGGAACCTATTGGGGGATGAACTTCTTATTTATGTGAATACAAATTGCTAGTTCCAATCTCTATTTGTTCAACTATGTGTTTGTTGTAGTTAATTGACAGGATCCTCAATTAGCTGTGCCTATTTAGTGTGCATAACTCGGGAGAGAGTGCATATTTAGGTAATTGTTGAACAACACCACTCCCAAAGTATATGAGGGATCAATAACCGAGGGTTTAAAGGCGGGATTAGGGATAACGAAGCCTTGGGTGTAATGTAAAGTGAATTGTGTTAAACAAAGCAAGCTAGTGTATCTCGGGAGAGTGCAACTAGTAAATTACTGTGATTACTCGGGAGAGATTTACGGTAAGAAGAGCGTTCATGATTGATAGAGATTTGTTGGTAAATTTGTATGAAGCATAAACAGAAGGAATTCCATCAATAGGGGAAATCATTACCTTAGCACTTTCTCATTATTGTTTACAGCTTAGCATCTTTAATTTGTAGCTATTAGTTACTGTTGATCTTAGTTATTAAAAACACCATCAACTGTGATTCTCAACGTTTGGGAAATTGATTCTAAAGAGTTTAGTATAGGTTAATTCTCTGTGGATTCGACTCTGGGCACAATACTCAGGTTATATTTGCAACGTCCGCATTGTCCTTTTTATAAGGCGTAGTTGGGCGTACCACCCATAAAATTCACTCTCCAAAATTTACACTCTCAAAATCAACTCTGCTTTCTAATATTTTGTTAACGTATATATCATTGACAAATTGCTTCCGATTTGCTTATTAGATAAGGATCTGAACTTTCTAGCTAAAATCGTACTAATTTCGTGTTTTCTTGTAGTGTATAGATCTTAAAACACAGTTGAGATTTTTCAAAAAAGGAGAGGATATGAGATCGGGAAGTAGAGAGAGAGGGAGAATAGATATGGGGTAGGGGATAGGAGAAATTTGAGGGGATATGAGAGAGAAAAATAATACAAAGCTTATTTTATGGCTTAAGGGTATGAGGTGACCATAAATAAATATTTGGCTATAAAAAATCAAAAGGCACCTATGGAATATAATTTTTTAAAAGGGTATTTATTTAAAATAAATAAGGTATCAACCTTTGCTACAGGAGGTCAAAATTCCTTTTTTATTTGAATAAACCCAAACATCTTGCCTCTCTACTCCCCGGAGTAGGGATAAGGTCTGCGTACATACCACCCTCTCCAAACTCACTTATGCAATTTCACTGAGTCGTTGTTGTTGAATAAACCAGAACATTTAATTTTCAACATAATAGAATTCTGATTAATCAAGCCTTTACAAACAATTCAGATTAAATAAATAAGTTGATGAAGAGTAATATATGAAATAACAAGAAAAACTATAAGATGAGTAATGAACTTTTATATTAGAAAAAATTTACGTTTTTCTGGCCAATACCAGCTTATCTATTTTTCCCACTAACATATTTCTATCATTAAAACTGACATGTAAATGATTAAATTTAGAAAATTCCAAGCAGATTCATCATATGCTAAAGTTACACGTTACGCTGACTACACAATATCAACGTCAGAGATGGGACATTTTCTTAAGAAAAAAGTTATATTTGAACTTAAACATGCAACAATTATATAAATTTATTGTTATCAATTAATTTTGTGTAAGAATATATATCAATTGAAACCTTTTATGTTGATGTTTATGACGTTTGGTTTAAAGGATTTTGGAACATATATTTTTTTTCCAAATACCGTTCTTCAAACAAATTACACCATCTTGTTTTTACGGGAATTTTGCAAACCTCAAAAACTTTTCTCATTAAACATTAATGATTTTACTTGGAAAATCAATTATTTTATTCTTTTTTCTTTTTCACATAGGCAGGTGGAAAATCAAATCAAATAAAAAAAATAAAGAAAGAAAAATTAGCAGCATAGTAGGACTAGTTCTTTTTTTCGATTTATCCTTTTTGTCTTGTCCCAAATATTACGCTAAAAACTCCGAATAATCCACCTGGACCCACATCACTTCCAACTCTTTTAGTACCTTTCAACCCCACTCGCACAGTCCAACACGGAGCTATCACGCGCCACACTAATGACTAAAGACTTCTTCTTTGCTTCCATTAAACACCATATATACCTCTTCAACCTTCTTATAACGTCACCAAAATCACACCATTTTTCTACTTCTTCGGTTTCCTCATATCCTCCTCAAATTCTCATCTGGGGTTGCTCAATTTGTTGAAATCTAATCACTTTTCTCTTCAAAAAATCAATTCTTGATTCTAAAAAAATGGTGCGTGTGAGTAACAATTTAGTAGGAATTCTAAACATAATCACATTTCTAATTTCAATCCCAATTATTGCTGGGGGGATATGGCTATCAAGACAAGCAAATACAGAATGCGAAAGGTTTCTTGAAAAACCTGTGATCGCACTTGGAATATTTGTCATGTTAGTTTCACTAGCTGGATTAATTGGTTCATGTTGTAGAGTTTCATGGCTTCTTTGGGTTTACCTTTTCGTTATGTTCTTGTTGATTTTGTTGATCTTTTGCTTCACTATTTTTGCATTTGTTGTGACTAATAAAGGGGCTGGTGAAGCACTTTCTGGTAAAGGGTATAAAGAGTATAGGCTTGGTGATTATTCTAATTGGTTACAGAAAAGAGTTAATAATCATTGGGGTAGGATTCAGAGTTGTTTGCAGGATAGTAAGATCTGCAAAACTTTAATTGATGATGGGTCTAGCACAAAAGTTGAAGATTTTTACAAGAAACATCTCTCTGCTCTTCAGGTATATATTTAGTAAACTTTTTTATTGATTACATCGGAGGGAGCCTTAGCGTAGCTGGTAAAGTTGTTTCCATACGACCAGGAGGTTACGTGTTTGAGCCGTGAAAACAGCCTCTTGCATAAATGTAGAGTAAGGCTGCATATGGTCTTGCCCTTTTCCGAACCCCACGCACAGCGGGAGCCTAGTGCACCGGGCTGCCCTAATAAATCGAGAGCTTTTGATACATGTATATATGTGTGTTTATAATCTTGTTATTATCACTTTGACCATGTACAGTGGCTTTGTTCATACTTTGGACATGCCCTTTTAGTAGTTATATATACTCCTCCTAAGTATGAGTTTTTCTGGTTTACTTCTATATAAAGTTGAAAGCCTTTAGGTTTTTGACTTTATTGTATCAAAACAAATTGGGGCTTTTTCTGTAAAGTATGCACCTTTTTCAGTTCCTATTAAGTGGTTGTGGTTCTTGAGTAAAGATGATGAGAAGCCTTTTTATTCCTTTAAGCAAAGCATCATCTTTTGTGGAATTCTTTTTTTTTTTTTTTTTTTATAAACGTGGTGTCCGGGCCGGCTTATGGAATTCTTTTGTGCCTTTAGATTTTGAATACTGCATATATTTCGACACGCAATTTGAGAATTATTTTTCTTTTTAAGTATTTATTTTGCATACCTTCACTTTTTAGCATATCTGCAGTCATGAAAGTTTGATGACAAGCTTGTAATCTGGTTAAGTATCAGTTTTGCTCTAGATTGGCGTTGATTTTTGGAGGTTGGCCGTGTAAAGTGGCTTTGTTCTTGTTCCTTCATTCTTCCAATTCTTCATTGATTAATTGACAATGAAAGACCTATGACTTTTAGGATATACTATTTAGTAATGATACTCTGTATGAGCTTTTCTGGTTTATTTTATGTATATTAGAAAGCCTTTAGATTTTGATTCTTCTATAAAAACAAGTTGAGGCTTTATCTGTAAAGTTTGATGACTTGACTGGATTTTTTTGTTTTGGTGAGTTGACATATGCAATTTTCTGTTGGATTTTTGGAGCAGTTGAAAGTTTACATAACTTGGTTTTCTGAAATGCACTTCTGAGTTTGATTCACTAAGATATTAGGCAACCCTTCTGCTGCTAAGGTTGTGTCTCTATAGAACTAAAAAAATAAAGAAAAGATTTTGTATTCTAATAAATTATTCAGTCTCGAGGATGTCTTTACAGTAATACTCCCTCCAGTCCAAAATAAGTGATTTTTTGGCATTTTTCTTGTGGTCCAAAATAAGTGATTTTTCCAGATTTCAAGAATGAATTAATTATTTTTTTCCTACATTGTCCTTGGAGTAAATAGTGTTGGAATATGTGTTAGGAGTGTTTATGTGAGATAGTAAAGGTTAATATGGTCAATTCCATTGCTAATTAATGTTAAAAGGTGGATTTGTTAATCTGTGTGAAAACATCCAAAAAATTACTTATTTTGGACCGGAGGAAGTAAATCTTACAGTCCGTTGGCTTACTGATAAAAAGTAGCAATAAGCATATAGTGCTGAAAAGTTAAACTTTATCTTTATTTTTGTTCTATGGTTTTCCCCTTTTTGTAGCCATCAAACAGATGTGCATTTCCTCCTATTTGATATGCGATTGAATCTAATGTCACCAGAAGTTCGTGTTATTGCTCCATCGTCCCTTCTCCCCATGACCCCCTCACCCGTCTTGTTAAATTGGGGATGCCCCATTTTGTTTATTTTTCACCAATCTTATTGTAATATATGGTTCCTGACATGTTTAACTCTTGCAGTCTGGTTGCTGCAAGCCATCAAACGACTGCAACTTTGCCTATGTGAGCCCGACCAACTGGACCAGGACTGCAAGTTCATCCTCAACCAATCCAGACTGTGGCCTGTGGAACAACGATCCAAATGTCTTGTGTTACGGCTGCCAATCCTGCAAAGCCGGGCTGTTAGACAATATCAAGAGTGACTGGAAGAGGATAGCTGTACTCAACATCATATTCCTCGTCTTCCTCATCGTCGTCTACTCTGTTGGATGTTGTGCCTTCAGAAACACCAGGCGCGACAATTCTTATAAACGTTACCCTTGATAGTGTTACTTCAATCTTATAGTGCTTTCACGATACCCCTTTGGTCATTTTTGTCGCGTATTATATGGAGTAGAACATTTAGTATGTTCATGTACAGAGTATTTGTTGGACTAGTTTATTACTTTGGGTATATGTGAATTCATACTAATACACGAGTTTGTTGTTTAGAATATGACAATTGGTTGGAGATAACGAGTGCTTTGTTCCTTGATTAAATCATGAATTCGTCGAGTCTTGCATCTTTTTCTAACAAACAGTTATTTTATTTGGTATGGTGGAGATTTGGTACTCAGCTATTTACTTGTACATATATCAAGACTTGATTATATATACCCTTGTTTGCACATATAAGTGAAGTTGAAAATGACAAATTGAAGTAGATTACGCTTGAAGTTAGCTTTATCTGCGGAAAAAGTACATTGCACTTACATAAATGTCAATACAAACAATGAAGCTTTTATTGGTATAGAGATGAGTTCTCGATACAACAAAATATTTATTTATCATCTTATTGTTGTCATAGCTTGGAGATTTCCTGGACAAAAGGGGTTCTTCAAAATGACTTGCTGTTTATTATAGTACATACAATAATACATACAATAACACTATCCTAGTTCTCATATATTATAGTACATACAAGTTGCATCAGTTTAATTAATCGGAAAAGGGCCAAAACTATCCCTAGACTATTCGCTTAAGTTTTAAAATACCCTCCGTCCACCTATTTTATAAAAATTGCCCTCACCGTTAAAATCTGGTCCATTCATGCCCCTAACGTCAACTTTTCGGCCCACTCATACCCTAAAAACTAACAGCCCTATTTTGATTAAGAAAAAAATTTATTATTATTATGTGTTAATTTCCTATTGGCTTAAATTAAAACCTCACCCCATATCCACTTATTAGCCTACTCCGTCTTAGATTTTCACCCTTCAACACCCACGGATCTCCCTCTCCATCTCAGATTTTTCGGCCTTAATTTAATTTTTAAATTAACATTTTTTATTAAATCAATTTTCTGAGTGAAATCAGGTACTCTTTGAAATTAATGCTTCATTGTAAGATTTTATGGTTTAATAAGTTATTTTTCTGCCAATAGCAATGATCATTGAGCATTTGCAATATTTTATGTTGTATATTTCCTGACAACTCTGCATCCAATTTTGATTATGTCAATGATTCGCCAATTTTAAAAAAGAGACGGTTAAATCAAGAGAAATATTTGATATCATATGCCTGAGAATATGAGAGAATACGACTTATTGGTGAATGTGACTATAATAAACACTTGATTGAGCTTATTGTATGAAGCAGTAAAGTGTAGTAAGAAAAATTGATGATGAATGATATTTTTGTGATGGAAAAAAATAGGAGTATTGATGTGTATATTTAATATACAAAGAAATAGGAAGAGGAAGGTGATTAACTTTACGAGAGAGTTTTGTTTGCTTAGGGAAAAAAATGGGTGTATGGGAGTTCTAGTTAGTGGAATAATTTTTAAAAGAAAGAGTAGAAAGAAACGGAGGAAAAGGGTCTTAGAATGTGGGTGAGTTTATTTTAGTTTAGGTGAGTCTTAAGTTAGGCCAATGGGACGATAACACATGGAAATTAATTAATTTTTTTTTGGCCTAACAGGGTCTTTGAAAGTTGTATGACGTAAAGTATTGGTGACAAAAAATTTTGGTTGTCTGAAAATAAAACTTTAATAACATTTGTAGTGATTATTCAAATAGAGTGCAAGGTCAAAAAAAGGATGAGAAGAACAAGAAAAATATGAACGCACACACGCTAGAGGGGGGAGGGTGGAGGGGGTGGGGGTGGGGGGGAGAGATCTTTTGAGATGGGGGGTATTATTGTACCAACTCCAATAGTCTAGGGGCGGTTTTGACCTTTTTTTCGTTATGACACGTGAAAATTAATTAAATTTTTTTTATCTAACATGGTCGTTAGTTGTAAGGGCATTCTTGAGCCGAAAAGATAACGGTGAGGGCAATTTTTTCAAAGTAGGTGGACGGAGGGCATTATTGTACCAACTCCAATAGTCTAGGGACAGTTTTGACCCTTTTATTTTAACTCTAAAAGATTGAAGAATAGAGAAATTCAAGGGGATTATATATATACCTTCCACTGTACAATTGTTCATGCAGCAATAGAGAGGCGCAAACAGTTGTAATGACTGCATAAAGGGTTGAATATAGCACAAAATTTTTACGTAATGACTTTCAGTGGCGACGCCAATAATATTCGATATATGTCGCTTTTTAGCCCCCAGATAGGAGAAAGGGAACAGCAATAGCTACTCGTGGATCTGGAAACTGAAGGCCCCCAATAAGATCAAAACATTCATATGGCTCCTTTACCATAAAAGGCTACCCACAAGGGCATATCTCTACAATATTGGGGCTCATTGTAACCCAATCTGTTGTTTCTGCAATGATGCTCTTGAGACCTCTGCCCACATCGTCTTTGACCGCCCTAATGCTAAATCATTCTGGCAACAATTAACATCAAAGAGCACCACTACAGCACAAACCCAACCCCCACATTCACTAGCAAGGCTTGGGCTACCACATGGTCAACTGTTACAACCCATATTCGCGCTTGTTAGATCATGCCGTAAGTTAGTCGACGTAAATCAGAGAAGAGATTATCTTTGAGATGACAAAAAGTTAATCCTATTGGTCTTAAACGATACAAGGGTGTATAAGAGTGGCTAACAAGTATTAGAAGTTAAAAGAATCAAGGATGTTGTAACCCGTATTTTCGGGTAAAAATAGAGGTACTTAATATTCTCAAGAGGTCGTGTTTTAAGGTATTTGAATCATATAATATCCGTATCATAAGTCTTGAAGTCAAACGAATTATGAAACAAAAGGCAACGAAAGTTGTCGCAACTTACGTTCATAATTTTATTTAAACTTTAGGTCAAATGTTACTAAGCTTTTCTCCCAATTTACGGGGTGACCTATCCACCCACATAGGCAGTTGAGATATATTGATATATATGAGACGACTTAACCCCATTTCAACTCATTATTTTTCACTCTCTTTAGACTCTAGACACCTAAAAACCTCTCTCTCAAAGTTCTCTCATGATCCAAGACCCAAACAAAGGGCAAACAACACAAATCAAGTGTCCGAAATCCTGTCGCATTAGTAAGTTTCTTGTTCTTGTTCTTGTTGCTGATTTTTGTGTGGTTCCAGCTCGTGTGGGAGGTTATTTTAAGTGGTTTAAGTTCTGTAAAATACTCTCTCAAGCTTTTAATATCAACCCTAGGTTATTTCAAGTCTTCTAAACCGATTCTAGTGCCGAAAAACCTGAATTGATTACTAGTTTCGCTTCCTTGTTCTTGTGGCAATATTGGAAGGATATTTCGTGGTGAATTAAGGTCAAATTTGAGTTGTTCTACCTGTTTAAAGGTAAGGAACCTCTTACTCTACATGAATTTAAGATTATCCAAGTTGCGGCTAAGTCGTTGAAGCTAGAACTTGTGAGTTATCTATCAGAAAGGCTTGTTAGTAATGTTGTTGGCTGGTGGACTATTTTGGGAGGCTTAAAATGATTATTATTGATGTTGTTTGGGCTGTTTCATAATTGTTTTAACTTGTGGAAAGTCTTATAAATATGGGAGGTGATGTCTGTTTCATCGTAAAATAAGGTGCGGTGGATATGTAATACTTACGACGCTTAAACGATAACGTTAGTGTGATTTCTCTTGTGTAGACTAAGGAGTCATGACATTTGCATAGCTTGAGGTTGGGCAGTATATACAAGGTATGTGAGGCTATCCCTTTCCTTCTTTTGCACGACTCTGATTGTACATAATGTAATGAACGAGCTTCCAAAGATACTTCACTCTTAGAAGCTAGCAATACTTACATTGTTTCCATTCTTATGGAACGATTGTCCTAATAGCGTGTAAGGAGGTTACCGACCTTACGTTACTCCTAAAGGTTTAAAATATGATTCCAATGAGTCTAATACGCATTATATATATGTACCTATTTTACTCTACCAAGCCGCGCTATAGTCGTTTGGGTACGGCACCTATTGTGCAACCACTGATCAGTTGGATTTTACCGAGCTCCACGTGGTCGGGTACGATTCAACCGAGCCTTATGATGGCCGGGTACGTTTTACCGAGCCTATTACGGCTGGTATGATAATATGAAGATGATGCCCACAGAGGCTGATGTTCTGAAAAGTGTATATATATATATATATATATCATGCATTTCATGTCAGTCGCCCTCAGAGGCACTCAGATGTTAGAGGTTGTATATTCTCTATCCCTGCTTACATTACTGTTCTTATTTATGCCTTCCTGCCTTACATACTCGGTACTTTATTCGTAGTGACGTCCTTTTTATTTGTGGACGCTGCATGTCGTGCTGCAGGTCCTGACAGACAGGTAGACGCAGCTTCACCATAATAGGCTGTCTAGTTCAGCGGTTATTGGCAAGATGCCGCCAGACTTGCCGTGGTCTTGGTATGCATTTTTGTTATAGACATTATGGGTATGTCGGGGCCCTGTTCCAGCAATATTGCAGCACTTAAGTTCCTTTAGAGGCTCATAGATAGGTGTCGACCTATCTATAGTTTAGATTGCCTTGTCGGCTGATTTTTGTTGTATAGTCTCTCATGGAAGCTTGTCAACTCGTACCTTATATATAGCTTTATGACAGCCTTGTCAGCCCATGTTATGTAGGTTCATGCCGTTATCTATCATTGTTGGTTGTACAAGATTCATGTCTACCATTTATGTTGGTCTCGTCGGCCCTTATAGATAATAGGAAAGGTTTGATAAAATGTATGTTGGTGCTTGGTAGGTATGGCCCGGGTGCCAGTCATGGCCTTCCAGTTTGGGTCGTGACAAACTTGGTATCAGAGCAAGTCTATCATAGGGGTTGTCTATGAGCCGTGTCTAGTAAAGTCTTGATTATGGATGTGTAGCGCGCCGCATTTATAATCGGGAGGCTACATGACATCTAGGGTTGTTACCTTCTTCCTGAATCTAGATCGTGCGTAGAGTTGAATCGTAAGTGTTCATCTCTAATATTCACCTTGTGTTCTTTCAGCGATGCCTTCGACTATGAAGCAAGCGATTAGTAGATGACTTGATACATTTGCGGGAGAGGGTACCAGTCAGGTGCCTCCAGCTAGAGTAGACCAAAGTGAGGCTCGGAGTGAGATGCCGTCTCATACCTCATCTACTCCGTCTCTTCCAGAGGATATTAGGAGGGAACCAACACATCCAGTTCCTCCGTCTAA